ACGGTTTTCCAATGATTAACTATTTGATTATTTTTATTTTTAACCTTTGCAAATTTATTTGAACTTTTAACATGACTTACTTAGCCAAACTTTGCAAATTTGAGATATTAATCCTTTAAGATTCCGTCTTAGTTAAACTTTCTAAGCCTTAACTCTCTAAGCAGACCTTCAAATTTTAAACCTCTATCGTTTCAAAACTTCAATTTTTTATTTTTTAGTTTGATAAAGCAAAAGGCGTTCGATGAGGGGGTTTGGAGTTTTTCTAACTCTAAAACTAACGACAATTCAAACAAACGCACAAACAAGTAATAAAGAGAGAGAGAGAGATTTGGGTCCAAGTTTTCGGGTTCTGTTCGTCTTGACCGAAACTTGGACCCACCTGCTTTTGGGTTTTTTAACCCATTTCTTTCTTTCGTACCTGTCCTAGTCTAAACATACAAGAATAAATATACGGAAAGTAAAAATGACAAGGGCTTATACCCAAAATAAATACAACTTTATAAATAAATAATAATAAAAAAATCTTCTAATACTCCTTCCTTGAGCACCTTCGATCTTCATGAAGTTCGAATTTTCGCACGCCTGCTGCCATTCATATTTTTACACCTATTTAAGGTATAACGTTTCTGTATATCAGTGTATACAGGCTGTATATCAGCCTGTTTTTCAACTTTCGAGAGTTGAAAAATTCTTTTCAGCAGCTTACTTTACTGCCATCAACCCAGGTTTCGAACTAGGCCTCCTGTACATCTTTTGATATGTATATCACGGTATAAACTGTGTATATGGTTGGTATACAGCTTCTCAATATATGCCACTGTAATTTCCAGCAATTTTCCAAGTTCTGGTGAACCAGAATCAATCTCCAGCAGTGCATTTTCTGCTGTTCTTCCGACCTGTACACCTTTGAGAGGGTTCTATGACTCGAAGAAGACATTCTGAGCCTTTATGGCTCGATGAGGAAGTGTAGTGAGATGGAATAAAGTCCATGAGGACTCGAGGAGGGTTTCACATGCAATAAAACATACAAAAGATTAGCACTTAAAGCGATAAACTAATAGAAAGTGTCTTGAACAAGACGAAGATAAAAGATGAACTACTTGGAGAAATGAGTTAGAGGGGGATAAATGACTTCAAAAATAATTCCGAATGATATTAAGAAATAAAATCTCACAACAAGTAGGATAAATAACAGGGGCAAGCAATGCATGTACACATATTAATGAATTTGTCATCTGCATGAGGATGCACTACTGCTGTTTAGTAAATGCAAAGTAAACATGCCATACTTCATTGGTACAGCATATCCAATTGGCAAGACATGATGATGCTAAATACGAAAAATACTTATTTCCAAATTACCGTATCACACATAAACACAAAACATACATGTGGAATGCAAAGAGAGAAGCATATGGAAGGACTGTGCGTTCATGAAATTTTCTAACGGAGAACACCGCCATGAACAACCATGCCTTTAGCTGGAAAAAAATGAACTAAAACTCAACCTTAAAACATTCCGAAATAAATTCGACTATCACAAACTATTGGGAGATGAGAAAGAACCTCATTCGCATTTCAACAAACACACAAGAATACATCACATTTGGAAAAGTTGAACAGACTCCTTCAGCAGCCATGAAACGAAAAGCGAGAACAACAACAACAACACAATCAAAGGTAGCGACTTCGCGATCGAAACAACATGCTAAGTTGAAAAGACGAGGAAAACTTGAGAAGACGATTACGATCAAAGGGAGAAATGCAACTGTTTATCGAAGACATTTCAGACGCAGACTATACAAAATTTGCACCCCATACTCCCAAAACTGGAAAACGTCGACTCGGACTACAACCAAACTAACAGCAAAACTATAGAAGAAAGGCAATACGCAATGACAGACTTCGAGTCACAACCAAATGTCAGCCAACCACATACAAGCAACAATCGAGCGAAAAAAACGAGTCATAAACAAAATAAGGGTCGATTCTCACCCCTTTTTATGCAGCAAACGGCAACGACGAGTGAGGTAACGAGCTTCCACCACCAAATGAGCTCAAAGCTGTATTGAAAACGACCCGACGAGCAAAGGGAACAGGATCGTGACTTCAGTCTCCTGAGTTGCGCGACTCTTTCCCTCTCTTCAATTTTTCGCTCAATCGTCCAACCAAATTTCTAACTCCCAACACTCTTCCAGATTTTTCTCTCTCAAATTTCAACAAAATTCCAACCTTAAAATCAAATCCCCAATGTTTTCTAGCTACAGACAGAAAAGAACCAGAATATTTCGATAATTTTCGTACTCTTAGTGATAAATTCTCCAATTCTCCCGAATGTCTCCCCCTTTCGGATGAAGAGAAATGGGTTTTTATAGAGGAGAGGAATTAGCCCCTCCCCTTTGAATTCAAAAATTTTCAAATCTATTTTGGGTCAAACCCCACATGGCCAGGCGTGTTGGAGAGGATGAAATTGACACCTCGCAGACCTACTCGACAGCGTATGGGTCTCTGCGCTTCCGTTTGGTTCACGCGAAGAGAAAAGATGGAAGGAGAAGAGCGTGGGGTTGTTGGCGAGTCGCGTCTGAGTTTTCTGGGTTTTTGTCGAGAGGGGAAGGAGAGAGTGAGCGTGGAGGAGACGTGAGGGTTGAGGGAAAGAGCACGGGGAGAGACGCGAGGGGAGATCGCGTGAGGTTGCTGGCGTTTTTTTTTTCTCTGAAAAACGCGTGATTTCTGGGGAATTATTTGGGTTTCTGCTTCTGGGAATTGCGTGAAAGGAAGAAGAAAGGGAAAGGGTCGTCTGGGTCGGGTCGGGTGGCGGGTCGAAGGGATGGGCGGGTATTTTAAGTTAATGGGTTGGGATGTTTGGGCCCGAGAATTTGTTGTTAGGGATGTTTGGATTAAAAACATTGGGCCTGAGAATTGTTTGGGTTGCTTGAAAGGGTGGGCTGCTGAAGAAAGGGAGATTGGGCCTGGGCGTTGGGCTGGAAAAGGGGAAGAGAAATGGGGTGGGCTGAAAATAAACAAAAGGGAAATGGGCTGGAGGAAGGGAAGCCTTAAGATACACCTATATACATATATGTATATACATATATGTATATATATACATCTATCTTATTTTCGCAAGATTTATAAAACCAATTAACTCATACCGACGCGGGTCAAAATTGGGTGTCAACAA